TACTTATGAATTATTAACTATCAAAAGTCACCATTATTATTATCGATATTATTATCAATATTTTGAAACCACACTCAGGAAATGGAGTACATTTTTGGGCTTCTGTACATTTAAATTGCAAACTTTTTTTTTTTTTCACATGGCAGGTATTGTTTGTAGTAGGGATACCCAAATCCATTAAAAGACAATATTAAAGCGTGATCTTCTTAAAGCCTTTTCTGGTTTTCATTCAACTTTCATTTAAGTAGTTTCCTTGATTTTCCATTGAAGGTTAAAACACAAAAAAGATGTCAAAGATTTCGATAGATTTTTCAAAAAGTCATGACAGCGTCGGGCAGTACATACCACAAAACTAAAGGCACTGAATGGAATTCATCCATCAGTAAAATATTGTTAAAGCTCAGATTTTCCTACAGCAAAATATCTTTGATAAAACATAATCCTCAGTTAACCGAATATAAAGTCTTGAAGAAACTTTTATTATCTCTGATTGTCACTGGAAGCTGTTCTGGATGCCATCTACTTCATCTACCTCAGCCTTAAACCTTCACTGACCTCACTCTATTTCCAAAATTTGAGGTAAAGTAAAAATATTACGAGAACAAAGTCCTTGTGTGATGGAATTAAAATCATATTGATATGAGAATAAAGTTGTGGTAAAGAAAATCTTATGAGAATAAAGCCACAGTGAAGTCAGAGTTGTTCTGTTACTTGAATAAAGCCATTATGTTTTGAGAATGAAGAGGTGATAATGTCGTAGTTTTGGTTGCAAGGAGCAGCAAGTTACCTGTACCACAGCGAGTAACAATGAGCTCTAGTTTAATTGTGCGTTAGTATGAAGTTTGCTCATAACCACATACTTATTTTTTAGAGCCATCAGCACCACGTTGTTATAAGTATCAAAACTCTGAAAAGATTATGAGGCTAATCACTGACTTAATTATTGTCTTAATTCTCATGACATAATGATTCTCAACATCTTCATCCATATTTTTTCTAAATATGGCATCACTACTCTACTGTATTAACCTGCATTTTTATATGAGTGATGAACTGTTTTTTTTTTTTTTCCAGACAGTAGTTTTCCCTTCCCTTTTGTACAAAGATTTCTCCACATTCTCATTATCTTATTATAAGTGATGAATTTCCCCAAATCTTTGTAATTTCACAAGAGGCATGATTCAGAAACTGTTGAACCATTTCTTCACGCAGTCTCTCACAGAGTTATGAACTTCCTCCCTGCTTTACTTCTGAGAGACTCAGCCTCGCTGGAACGCTCTTTTACACAGGGTCATGTTACTAACCTGTTTTAAATTAGCCTCTTCAGTCTTCATTACAATTATTCAGTTTCAACATTAGATATGTTGACTTTGTGCAGTTTTCAATGAAATATAGAGTTTAAATGATTCACATTCTGCTTTAATCAACATTTCTCACGGTATCACAGCTGTTTCTGGATTTGGGTTATGATTATATTGTAATCTATGATTTTACAGGTATAATGTCCCATTTACAAGCTGAGATATGCTCACAGAGAAACAGTTGAGAGTTTGTAACGTAACCAGTAGTATCAGATTTTCACATCAATTAGATTATTTGATAAAAAGATAAAGTTAAATACAAAATTGCTAACTTACAGAAGAGACCTACAATCAGGTCTATCTTGATAAAGCTACTTTATTCCCACTGTGGACTTTACAGAGGAAAAGTTAAGATAACAGACATTCAAGTCAACAAAGACAGATCGAGCCGAACAAATCAACAAGACTGGTTATTTAACATTACATTTCTCCCGGGCTGGAGTCTCTCTAGTCTGCTGTTAAAGCCGTCCAAAAGAAGTTAATCTTTTTCTGTGCTCCTGATCACATCTCATGATAATACATTTGACATCATACTGGCATCACAAGTTGATCAAGCATAACTATCTCACATTATGAGTTAAAACAACCTCAAATCTCCCCCTCACATATCCTCTGCACATATTGTTCTGAAAGCCTAGCCCCCCGCTCACCTCCTCCATAAACCCCGAGCTATCCTGTGGATACACACGACTAACTGATTGAGTGTAGACAACCTGATAGCAGTTTAAGATCACAGCAGAGTTAACACACTGTCAAATGCCATGCAATGAGCACCTCAACAGGGGACAGATGAGAGTAACATGTGAGCATATGCTGAGCCTGTGTATGTCTGCGCATAGTATATGAGAGGGGTGAGGTGTGTATCTCCTCTCTATGTGTGTGTGTGTGTACAAGTGAAGTGTGTATACGTCTGTTTGTGTGTGTGAGGGCTACCCTGCTCAGGGCATTGACTGAATTGTTTCCACATGTGTCTTAACGCAGAGTTCTGGGCGGGTTTGGAGGACAAGGGAGGAGGGGGTGGGGGGCTACTATAGTTGTTGGTGGTGGTGGTGGTGGTGAGGGGGGGGGTCAGGTTTCATAGCACCATGCAGCACATCTGGGTTGCAAGAGCCGAATTAGATTTCCCACGACTGAAAGCCTTCGCACACTCACATGCATCTGCACACCTTGATAAACTGTGATCAGTAAACAAACATCTGGGACGTGTAAACAGCAAGCGCGCACAACCACGTCAACACCGAACGTACACGCCGTCCGCTACCACACACATTGTACAACCAGCTACACGGCGTTTCGTTTATGTTATGCAAGTGCCGCTTATTGTCTCATGCTCTGTTGCTTTTCAACCCTGCCTTTTCATATCCTAAACACACACACACACACACTCATGTATGCCCACACACAAACACACACACACACACACACACACACACACAAACTCAAACACCACTTCTTCCCTGGCACAGCTGTCCCAAATGCTGCGGGCACACGGGCGTTTCACTGGCATGACACATGGAAGGAAAATCTGAATGTGTTCTCACTAATCATTCCCCTATTCCACCCAGAGAGAGAGAGTGAGAGAGAGAGAGAGAGAGAGAGAGAGAGAGAGATGTGTACAGCTCAAGGATGAGGATGACCTTTTGCAGGGACTTGATGACCTGAGCAGCAGGTGTTGAGAGGTGAGGAGGGCGGGGACAATGTGAGCATTAGAGCGAAAAAAGGTGGAAGGAGAGAGAGAGAGAGGCAGAGCGGGATGAAAGCAGGTTAGAGGTGAAAGGAAAGGAAAAGCTGTGGTAGAGTGAGATGGGGTAAATGGGGGTATGCCAGTTCCATAAATGTTTAATTGCCAACAGGTTTATTCCTGTTAAGAGAAAGAGAGCTGAGAAAAGGGAGAGAGAGAGAGAGAGAGCCTGTATGGTAGAAAATCTGTCTAGAGCCCCTAAATCTAATTTACACAACAAACACAGAGAGGAGAGATAGGAGCGAGTGAACAAGGAGAGGAAAGGAAAAAGGAAAGGAAAGAAGGATAAAGATGCTAGTTGGCTACAGTTGGGCATACTTGGCTTAAGATGAAAGAAGGGAAGGACAAAAAATGAAGGAAGGATGTAAGGAGGGATGAAAGTGTAGAGAGAGGGAAGAAGGTGAAGAAGAAAGTAGACTACACTAATGGATGGATTAGTGATGGATGGATAGATGGGTGAAACCCACATGGGTGAAATATCATTCATGCAGACCTTGTCTTCCTGTAACTATTGTGTCTTTTCTCAATCTAAACAAGTCTATGAATGACTGAATGAAACTGAGAATCAAACAGGATTAATAAGAGTAATGAAACATAACAAGTGTTGAGCCCTGCTGTTAAGAATCAAGGTTTCACAGCAGAAATCCACTCCTAAATGAACCCCAAAATGACTGTCAGTTTTAACATGCTAAATTCTGTATTAACACACTGAATAAATTTGATAACTTTTCAAACCTAAAGACACTTGATTCAAATCTTACCATACTATTGAGGTCACACAGTGTGACATTTGGTTGCTGCCGCTCGCTCGGTCTAACCATTGATGAGAGCAGAGTGTGGCTGCATGGTGTTTCATTTCACTATTTCAATTTTATTTACGCAGCAGAAGTTTTTCTCCATCTGTTGATGCATAGACTTTGAAAAGAATCCACAAATGAGTCAGATCGGACTTTCCCAGCTGTGCGGAGGCTTGGCGTTGTCTGCTGTGCTGGTGAAGGGATCCTGGAACTATTTTTGCTTGGCAGGTTCTTCCTGAATTGAAACAACTTGTAACCTGCAAAAAAAAAGGGCTTTAAAAATTCTACTGGTCCCTGGTGTAAAGTGCTTCTTTCACTCCTCATAGTCCTCACTTCGCTCCATTCTATCTATTATCCTTTGATTCATTATATCATACACCTCCTCCTCCTCTTTGCTTCTTTCTACATATTCCTCTATTAACCTGAAACCTACAATAAGTGAAGTGTAAATAGCAGAGCCCAGGTGCCACAAAGAAAACATGGCACCGACTTCATAGGTCAGCTTTGCCAAGAGAAGGTCAAAGTGATTCTTGGTCCCGGTCCTGTGAGGATGTGTGTGCTGTGTCTGAATCAAAGATAGGGTCATTCTAAGAAAGTCTCACTCCATCTTTCTCCTTCTGTAACGCAGACCTATGTCTGCAGGCTGATACAGCATCTGTGCTTTGTTAAACATATTACTGTTACGCAAGAATCTGGGACGAGGAACAACAACACTTGCTAAATATTTTGTTTATTGAAGTTAAAAATGCATTCAATTGCGGTCATGAATCCTGCTTGAGAACCTTTCACTCTGATTAATCATGAAAACAGAGCGGCCTTTAAAAGGAAAATAAACTCGAGGAAGGCCACTAGTGCAGAAATCGCCTTTGGTGTGTACCTGACTAAGTTTGGACTCAGACCAAAGTCGGGCCAGGAAAGCAGGTCAGGGGGTGCTGTTCTTCAGGAGATCTGTTTGGAGTCTGCTTTGTGTGTGTTTTTGTGTTTAGCGCGGTTTAGTCAGTCTCCGATTTACAAACATTTAAGGCCTGGCTGCTGTGCTGTTTCATTTTTCATTTAGTCGCAGCCCTAGGCCATGTCCTAGATTGGAGACTGCTACACACATCATCGCTGCACTCTGCGCCGCACCGAGCCGCTCCCCTCCTCATCGTCTGGTCTGGTCTGAGGAGACGAGGACCTGCCGGTGACCCCGCAGCCTGCAACACACACACACACACGCTCACATTCTTGCACATTTCTATATGCCCGCTCACACACACACACATCTAAACCTATGCCGAGCCGACATTTTTCTGCTCATGCACACAAACACACACACACAAAGGGAGACCGAAAACACAGACAGATAGGCAGACAGAACACACACAGGCAGACTTTATGCGGAACAAGCCGTCTAATTCCTCTAATACGCAAAAATCTGCACAGACAGACAGGTATGACACAGCAGCCACTGCAGATATAAAGACAGGTATTACACACACTCAGGTTCAAAGTTCCCTGTTTAGGAGGGTTTAACTCCAAACACAGAGAAAAACTTGATGACCGGCCACATGCAGACTGTGCACTCCTCCATTCACAAATCACACAGCACACAAACAAGCACATAAAAACAGTCAGATACATGCTCAACACATTTGAAAACAGAAATATCTTCAGCCAAATATCTCCTTCTCACCCTCTCACACACATTCAAAACAGAAGGTACAAGTGTCTGCGCACAAACACACACCTGTGGTTTCGGGCCAACACACACAGAACTCTTTAGTCCTCGTGCTGTCTGTCCCACTTAAAGTGAGCGCTGCTTGTGAAGAGGACCTGACAGACAGAGAAAACACACACATATAGACACACACACACATATACGGCGATGAGTACACTGCTGGAGCAGAAGACCTGACTAAGCTGAATTTCCCCCTGCTCCCCTTTCCTATTTTCCATCTGCCTCAGCGCAGGAGAACCTGTGTGGGGAAAATAATGCCCACCATACACACGCCAGGCTTCACTTTCTCTACTCTCGCTGTGACACTCCTTTGGACAAACACACACACACACACACAGGTTCAGTATACTGCCAATCCACTCTCTCAATCTCTATAGTTTTCCCTCGATTTCTTTTCACTGGTTTCTTTCCTTTTCGCCTCGCTTTGTTTGGTTTTTCTTCTGATTTCCTTATCGCTTCTTTGGTTCTTTATCTCCTCCATCTCTCCTCTTCCTTTCATCCATCCTTTGGTCGTTTCTGTGGTGCTGTGTGGTTGACCAACAGCCAGGGAGAGACAAGTGCAGGAGTGCCGGCCAAACTTGCCTGCCTCTCCGCCCAAATTACATGGGACAGTCCCAATTACCCTGTGGCCAACCAAAGCATTTCCTGGGTTAGCACTGGTGACGCGTGCCCCCCCTTTGCTGTGGTTATAGGGGGTGTCATTAGCTACTTGTTTTACTGCAACCCCAAGAACGTGCCCGCCGGCCGCATCCACGCCACGGGAAGCACAACTGCAATGTTCCAATAACTCTGCCGAGCCTGATGGATGACAAATGGAAGAACGTCAGGGGTAGTCCTGGAGCGTGTAGTAGATTCCTGCTGGCCAGGAGGGAGATGCAAAGAGAACATTTCAGGGAAAATAAGAAATTCAGGAAAGGCTGCTTTGACTTCTGGGAAACAGATAAGTGTGAGGTGTAACGTAACTAAAATGAAATAAGGAGACCTTACTCAGACCGACTGCCCCAGTACTAGGCCAAGTGTGAGCTCGTCTGTGGGGGAATCAATGATGTATTATGAGGCTTTTGGAAATTTGACGAGCAAGGTTGTATCAAAGCTTAATGCTGAGATCCATGAGATATGCATGTGAGGAGAGCAGATTAAAAAGATGGAATAGGAATCTTAAAATCATGCATGTATGCAAAGACAAAGTTTTAATGCATGCAGAGAGGTATCACTTAAGTGCATGAGAGGACTGTGATACATAAATTACTGCTCATTTGTTTATGTACTCATAGTAAAGGATTAGGAAAGATATACTCTTCTGGCTGTTAGATTAAGGTTTCTTTCACGCTTTTGCTCCTTAGAAAAATACTTTTTTGTAATCTTCATTTATTTGTCTGCCAAATACACAAGTTAATTTTTAAAGTTTTGGTAGCTCTTTATTTGATGCCTATCTCTATAACGCATTATGAATATATCTATAATATGTTATAATCACGTTATAGCACTGTATAACTATGTTATAAACACTCATAAATCATAATGCTTTACAGCAATAATCATAACACATTACAAAGCATTTTATCATGACTTACAAGGTCAGGTATTATAATGTGTTATAACCATTGACAACAGTTGCATTGCATTATCTATATGGACATTGTCAGTGAGTTGTTAACAGTTATAACACATTATAATACCTGACCTTGTAAGTCATAATAAAATACTCTATAACTTGTTATGATTATTGGGTACGCTTTACAAGAACCATAACTTATAAATTGTAAATGGACCATTTATAAATGGTAAGCATATAGTTAATTAATGTTTAATCATCATTTATAAATAGCATATAGACTATTAATAAATTGTAAATTTTACAATTTTAAAAACCTGACCCTAACCCTAACTTTACAATAACCATGTAAGTAATGTTTATAGGTGGTTTAAAAACCAAATATTAACCATTTACAAAGTGCTACCGACATACATTTTAATCTAGATGTTTTACAACCAATATTTAAACCCTATATAAACCTTTAATAAATAGTCCATTAATAATTAATGAAAATTATTAATCATGGTTTCATTGCTTGTTAATAGTAAAGTAACTATTAACTAACATTAATTAAGTTTTATTTGCCATTTACAATTGGTCTATATGCTGTTTTGAAATGATGATTAAATTAACAAACTATCTATTTACCATTTATAAATTATGGTTATTGTAAAGTGTTACCGATTATTGCCATAAAGCATTATGATCATTTATGAGTGTTTATAACATAGTTATACAGTGCTATAACGTGATTATAACATGATTATAACACATCGTACATATATCTATAATGTGTTATAGAGATAGACGTCAAATAAAGCGTTATTAAAGTTTGAAATCAAAACCCCAAGGTTATGAAACATGAGGCAATGTTTATATTTCAGCCAAAAGGTTATAAAGTGATTCACATTACTTCCATCTAAACTAGTTTAAGCATTAAACTGCTCTCTATACCTGAGAGCGTTAGAAAAATAATCTAATAAAACAGGATTTGTCATATCGTGTAAGAAGCCTTCATGGCATATTCTTGACTTTCACTTTTGCTTCATAGTTGGTACAGGAACTTTAACAAGAAAGAGTTACTCCTTCCACTACAACATGTGATACAACACAAACGTAAATCATAACAAAAAAAAAATGTTTTTAAAATTAGAACCAAACAAAGGAGACCAAGAGTTGTGGGAGGGAACGAAAAAAAACATAAGAGGAGGGGATGGATCTGGTTGAAGGAAAGTCGGCAAAAAGAGAAGGGAAAGAGTAAGCGACTGACGCACAGAGCAGGATGAAGGTTGGAGGGGGTGTCTGGCAGGGGTGGGGTGACGTAATGGATGAGAGGGGAGAGGGATTAGCCGAGTGACAGAGATGAAGGGATGCTCTTTGGTGTCACCCGTCCTCACTCTCACTCCGTCCATCATTCATCGGGTGCATCATGGGGCTACAGAGAGTGCGGCAGCTGTGCATGCCAGCTGCGCAAGTGTACGTGTGTGTGTAATCAATTTGTTTGCAATCATTTCAAAGTCTGTTTATGCATGGGTGTACTGTACGTATTAATATTCCTTCTGTCAATCTGTCAATATTAATGTGCACCATGTGTCTGTGTACAAAGTGCGCGTTTTATGTACAAATGCAGTGTGTGTATGTGTGTGGTGTGCCTCTACATTGCCCATCTGGTGCTGCTATGCTGTGCTGCTCAGCCAGCTCTCTAATAGCTCCAATAAGCCTGTGGTTTGGTGCTTCTTACACACATACATACCAAAATATATATATACATACACGTACTCTATGTACACACGAGTGCATGAATACACACACCTACACAGTTAACACAAACCTTTCCTCGTGTGCTTCTTTTTTGTAATTCTTCATCCAAGAGAAAGAGGCTGAAAAATGATGATTAATTCACTCTGCTTTGAAGCGATAACACAGTTCACTAGTACAAGAAAAAACAAGAGGGAAGGAGTGAAAAAGCAGAAAAGTGTAAAACGGTGCCTGAACAACAAGAGTGGACACTGGGAAGAGCAGCAGATGAAAAAAAGAAAAGAAAACTACCACAAGGAGCTACAGGTTGACGGAATCGGAGAGAGGTTGCTGGTGGATGTGGAGTAGCGGGCTGTGGTTTGGTCCAGCGTAGTGTTTGGTTGTGTTACAGCCTCACTGTGGCTAGTGTGGGTTGGGCAGAAACAAGCTGGAAAACAAATCTGGGCACGAGAGAGTCTAAATTCTCTCTGAGCACTTGAAAACACACACTACAAGTGTTAAATAAACTTATCTTTCAAGTGATTTTCATGCACGTTGAGGTCTGATGAGACCCATTAAGGCTCACCGCATGCTTTTCAAATATTTAGAGCTGTATTTCTGTTTATCCAGGTCTGCTGGAGGGAGCACTCTGCCCTGACCAGCCCGCTCCTGGCCTGGTCTTCGTGGCTCCCTTCAGTAGCTGAGTGTCTTTCCAGCCAGCAAGGCCACACCAGGTCCAGTTCCAACAAACTCAGAACATATTTACATTCAGGGGGAAAAATATGCCCTTTCAAACATGGCTTACAAGTCATTTCTCGCCAGAGAAATATTTCTACACATGTAAACAGGACAAATTGTCAACTTAACTTTGACGTGATTCTCCTGGATGTGGTGGATTATGCTCAGATTCAAAGCCAGGTTGTTCCAGTTTATCCAACAAAACAGGTCTCTCTTCAACTAAATGTTTATTTGAATCCCCTTGGGAAAAGCCAGGTGTTGCCAGTGTACACAGCGGGCCTAATGCGGTTTTCAGAGTGTAGACTGCAGGTGCTTGTAGGAGTTTGCTGCAGCGCTCAGAAGATAAGATGCTGAGACAGAAGGCAAGCATGTGTCCCATGACCCCTGAGCAATATGGTCAGAGTCAGTGCAGCAATACAGACAACTAGATTGACTGACTGATGACAGATGCACACAGACACACACACACAGACACGCACACAGTGACTGCCTGTTTGAAGGCCAAGGTTGCCAGTTACCTTCTTTCCCTCTCTCTCTCTCTCTCTCTCTCTCTCTCGCTCTCTGTCCCTCTCTCTCTCTTTCTCTTCATCATCTTCTGTTAATCTGTTCCAGAGCATTGTGATCACATGGAAAAAAACACAGCAAGTGCACATATTTCTCCCTTAGCCAGGAGTGAAAAAAACACACACACTGGTAGGGTGTAGGGGAGGCAGGAGGGGAGGGGGGGGGTGTACAACGAGGAGAAAAAAAAAAAGCGAAATAAACTGTTTATTCAAAGGCAGCGCTGAGCTCTTTTGTTGTGGTGGGGACCTGTCTTTTATTAGCAGCCTGAAAAGCCTTCAAAGGCTGGAAAGACAGAAGACATGCCAACAGACGAGTGTATACAAGGCAGCAGAGAGGAGGGGAGTATGAGGGTGGGTGGGAAAGAAAGGGGGCAACACTGAAAGGGACAGGGCAGAAAGGCTTAAAAAGAAGCAAACCACCATGGACAGGGGACATGAATGGGTTGAAAGGTGGTGGTAGAGGAGGTGATGGAGGGCTGAGAACTTGACATGGTGCCGCTGGCAGTGAGGACACAGAACG